TACCAGAAGATTAACCAGGGTTCCAGGGGAGGACCGGCTGGGAGTCTTGACATTCAGTGGGAGACTAAACTTTCACTTAATCTTCCTATTTCAGGATGACACCCTTGACTTCTGGGGTCCCCCTGACCAGAGACTCTATAATTGGTGCTTTTCATGGTATAAATTCTCAGACCTGTGCTGGTCGAGGCAGGGAAGTCACACACTTGCTCTCAGAGGAGAGGTATCGGGTTAAGTGGACTTTCAACCAAACATTCTGTTTTTAGCCCCATACTCACCTCCATAGGTGACTAGTGTCACTGATTCCTTTTGCAGCTTCTGTGATGTAAATCTGATTGCTTCTCTGCTTTCCCCAATCGGCTAAACTAAACTAGTCACAATTTACTTCTCAGATTTCAGAGTCCCAAACATGTTGCAGCTGCTGCCGCCGCCTCTAGTGTCTCCGCTCCGCCCCGTGTGGTGTCAGTGCGTGCCCTCATGAGGCGCCCTTACCTATACGTAGGGAATGGATGGTGAGGTCAGCAGGCCCAGGGGGCAGGGTTTGGACTCCACCTCTTTCGTGTTTTAGCTGTGGAGCTTTGGATGAGGTATCCAACCTCTTTTGGTCTGTGCTCCTTCATCATTAAAAAATGAGAATGCTGCTACCTACCTCAGAGGATTGCTCTGAGGAAAAAATGAGGACACATACAGGAAAGTACAAAACATATTGTTGAGCATAGGGTTGCGACTCAAAAATATCTTGGCTTCATTTTCCTGCATTTGGAGGTTGGGGAACTGGGGTGATGACTCAAGGAAGACAGCGAGGTAGACAGCAGGCTGGGCGGCTCAGGGGCAGTTTGGTTGGGCCACACCTCCACTGTCCTCTCTTTCATCCCTATTGCCATTGCCTTAGACCCTGCAGATACAAGATTTTAAAAACATGAACTTACTATCCTATATTCTGGTAACCCCTGTCCCTATGCCAATCACAAAAAAAGGGGGTTCTGGGTTTATTATCTCTAGAAATGAATGACCGTAGAACACCAATTATAAATGAGTCAAAATTTTTTCTTTGGGATGTTAAAATCCAAAGACTCGAGGCATGATAAAAAAACAGCTTTGGAAGAATAATTCAAGAGTTGATTTTTTTCAACACTGTCACATATATACATAAACACTGATACATGTGTGCACAGACAAACAGACACACACACTGACTCACATCTGCATGTACACATTCAAAGAACTAGATAAAAATTCACTAGACTTTGGAGTAGGTAAGTCGGGTGGAAGCTGGGAGCTGGAACAGGTAATGTATGGAGAAACTACTGATGTCCTTTGATCTCTGCCCTCAGAAACGAAGTGACTTCCCCCTTTTTTGGTTGTGGCATCAAGCTGCTTGTGAGGAGGTTAGGATTGTTTCAGCAGGAATATAAAGAGAAGAAAAGAGCTAATTATGCATTTATTATGCATCTACTGAAATTCAGAAGGATTTTCTAGCAATGCAATAGGCTTGAAATCTGGACTCTAAGGGAAGAATCATATTCGCTTAGCTCCCGTTTAACATAATCAAGATCCAGATCTAGAGTCAACATTCTACTAAAGAAGGAGGTAATTCAATTTCTTATCTAATGTCCGGGAGACATTTGAGTGTCCCCTGTGGACGTGTGGTACTGTGAAGGGTGGAGGACGGGGGTCCACTGCAGGAGAAAGCTGACGGAGAAGACATCACTGTGACGTGCTGTGGCCCAAGAGGAAGCAGCAGGAGAAGGAGCAGCAGCAGGAAGGCCGCCAGGGGCCGTGGGGTAAGAGCTGTAGAGCCGTCAGCCCCAGAAATGGAGGAGCAGAGGTTTGACGAACAGGTGGGGGTGCAGGCCCTGCTGGTGGTGGAGGCATCAGCCCCTCCTCGGTTGCGACCCCACCTGGTTGAAAGCTGGTGGAGAGCCAGAAGAATTCTGTCGGTCCCTCCCTGCTTCTGATCCGCAGGTAAGGGAGGAGACGCAATGAGATGTCGAAGATCGGAAAGGACCAGCCAGGGGACTTGGGGTGTAACAGCACAAGAGTGGTGCTGAGAGGGCACCCTTCGTATTTATTGAGCAAATACATGTTAACAACAATAGAATTCTGTCGGGGGGGCTTAATACACAGCCATTAACTAACTCTAAACTTAATTCTCGGCAGTCTCCGGTCTCCTGGAGTGCGATGTCTTACATGGTATTGAAACAATAGCAAGGGCAATCACGTCACAGGAACTGTTCTGGTCTTGATCTGTTCTTGATCATACATCAGGAATTACAGGAAAAATAATCAAGTCATATGTGATTGTACATTTGATTTCTAGACTTGATTTATATATTAATCCCACAGGACTTGGCAACCGCAGGCTCCTCCAGGAGGGGGGCATCCCCCTCCTCTGGCTGTGGGGCGCTCCAGGCTCTGCTTCTATCCTCAGGCTCAAGCACGAAAGGAAATAAGGTCTGATTCTCGAAGGAGGAATTTAAAGGGCCCCATGAAGGCCACGAGGACCCAGATGTGAGTTGGTTTGAAAAGGCAGGAGCAGACGGAAAGAAATTGAATGAGTAGAACTGTGGCAATTGAGACCGGAGCAGTGGTTCCGGCTGCTGAGGATGAAGCAGAGGGCAGAGATAAAGCAACAAGATCGGCCTGTGTGTCTGCAAGACTTTTTACTGGAGAGGCTGGAGAAGGTGGGTATTGTAAGGCCCACCCACGGTCCTTTTGTGTAACTCCTTTGAGTAGAACTGGTTTGAATACAGCTAGGATGACTACTTGGTGGCAATGGGTCTCCTCAGGTTTGAGGGTTATTATAATTTGTTGTAATTTTTGTTATTTGTATATTGGCATAGCCTCTGTTGTTATGGAATTTGGTTACAATGCTCCAGCTTTCTCTCACAGGGACCATTGCAGAGGATTGAGGGCACATAGATTGAGAGGAGAGAATCCTGGAGGGGTGGAGTGTGGATAAAATGAAAGTTCCTTTGGCCAGGATTCTCACCTGGCTCTGGTCGGCTAGCTCACTACGCATGTGTGGGCAATACATTGCTATTGACTCTATATAAAGAGCTCTGCCCAGTGGTCTGTGCGATACAGTGGTACAGCTGCAAGGCTGCAGGAGGGCAGATCAGAGTCTGGAGTGGTGGCAGCGCCAAGGACAGAGGCCCAGAGGATGGCTGTGCGGGACGACTGTGCAGGCAGAGAGGCCCAGAGGCAGAGACTGGCTTGCTGTCTACAGACTCACTCTGAGTGAACGGGATTTTAGTGAAATTTGACCTGCCACCGTGGAAATAAAGTTGGGTATAACCCTTTCACCCCAAGAATGTTTTACTGTCATTTTCTTTGGTCACATTGAATCCACAGTGAACATGCCTGGGGCTGAAACCACTGGCAAGACACCTCAGTTAGGCTAGAATTGGCCACCCTACCTGGTTCCCTGCCCTGGGGCTTTTGGTGGGCATCTCGGTGGCAAGGAAGGTCAGGGCCTCTGCACCCTTCCCCAGCTGGGGGACCTGCAAGTCCTGCCCCCTGGGGCAATCCAGCAAGTCCCCCGCAGCACTGAACCACGTCCTCAAAGCTGCTCTGTTAACTCCCTTCACTTGCCACCTAGCTTTCTGAGCTGCCCTCACCCTTCCCCTCCTGCATTCCCCAAGTCCTGAGGTGGACTCAACCCGGCCATGTGTGTCTGAGGGGTGAGCAGGGCTGCAGCCAGGGCGAAGGGTGGTGGTTAAGACAGGGACTGGATGAAGGTGAGACCCAGATACTGTGCCGCAGTTACAGAGCTGCAGCTGGAGGGCTCGCTGCAGAAGGAGTTCAGAGGACAGCCTCCAGGCTCCAGATGGGGAATCAGAATTGGGCGCAGGATCAGCAACTCTGCCTCAGTTTTCCGGTCTCTAAACCGAAGATGATCAGAACCTAAGGGGCTTGAGATCACCACACCCTCTGGAAAGAGTTGGGCACGTGGCCACAGCTCGGAGCTATTAACACGTGGTCCTCCGAGGAGAAGGAAGGTCACACACCCTCAAATCCCACCCCTACTAGGGCCATGCCTGGCCCCACCCTGAGGCCCCGCTCCTGGCAAATACCTCGCCCCTCCCCGCCTGGACGCGTCCAGCTCGCTGGGCCCTGAGACAGTACACCCCTCCTGGCCTCTACGCCCCAGGGAGGTGGCGGTGGGCCCGCCCTGCCTCCGGAGGAGGGCTTCCTGCGCAGTTTGAGAGAAACACCCACACCCAGGAAACCCCCCAGCGGGGCCGAGACCGCCGAGAATGGGAGGACGCTGGAAGTGAGATAAATAGAATGACACCTGGAGAGGCCAGTCCAAACCCACATACCAAAGCCTTGTGACTCGGACCACTGGCTCTGTAAGGCTCCAGCACGTCCTGTTTTGAACTGTCCCATGGGGTGCTTCCCGGGCCCCACCCAGTGCGAGGGCCGCCGTGGGGAGCTCCGCCGCAGGAGGGCGGTCAGTGGGAAGCGCGTGAACAAACTGGTTTCGCAGGCCTCAGATTGATAACACAAACAGGGTCCCCCCCTCCCCCCCTCCCTCCCCCGCAAACAGGCAGCCCTGAGGCACTTTGGAAAACAGTCAGTCCTCAAACGTTAAACGTGGTGGACCCCGTAACTCACTCCTGGGTATATGCCCGAGAGAGAGAAGACACGTCCACACGAAATGGGTCAGAGACGTCGGGTTATTCATAAAAGCCAATATTCACAATAGGAAGCTACCTAAATCCATCACTTGACCAAAGGATACACGAGATGTGGTCTGTCCACACAGTGGAAAATCATTTGACCTTAAAGAGGAATGAGGTTCGACACGCACAACAACAGGTGAATCTCCAAAATGCTATGCTAAGTGATAGAAACCAGTCACAAAGGACCACATAGTGTGTGATCCGTTTATACAAATGTCCAGAATAGGCATATCGTTGGAGACAAAGATTAGTGGTCACCAAAGGCTGGAAAGGGGCATGCCGCGTGACTGCTAAAGGGTACTAGTTTCTTTCCAGGCCGTGGAAGTGAGGACGCTCGTACAGCTCTGTGGATATTCCGAAAATCACTCTAGATGGTGAACTGGTGGGATGGGAATGCTCTGCAAAGCCGTTACTCATATAAACGCGCGTTCACACGCTTGCTTCGCAGGGCTCCCGCCTCCCGGCCCGCCCACCGATCGCAAAGGGACTCTGAGTCTCGGCCCCTGACACCACGTGGAGCCCCCCAGAAGGCCGGGGACAACTGCCCCAGCAGGTGCACCCACTCCCACTGCAGGCCATGGCCCCCTCCACTTGGGGTCCGAGGCGGCACTCCTCTTCCCGCGTGGGCCGCCTCCGGTTACTTAGCAACTTCGTGGCATCCCAGCGAGCACTGCTCCGGAACAGAGGCGTCGTGGACTACGAAGCCCAGCATGCCCCGCGACGCAGGCGCGCGGACTACGAGTCCCATAGTGCACCGTCCGCTACCCCCCTCATCGCCCCCGCCCCTGCTCTCCCGAGACCCCGCCGAGCTAGCGCCGCGACCCCTTCCCAGCGCTCCCCGCGAGCGTGGGATCAAGTAGCGGGGCGGAGCGGCCGGGAAGGCGCCATGCGAAGGGGCGATCGCAGGGGCGCTGGGGGGCCGCGGCCGGGGTCTCCGGTGCCCGCGGGCAAAGCTGCGCTGGAGGAGCCGCCAGACGGCGCGCCCGCGGGCCGAGCGGCCGGGCCGGGTGCGGGCCGCCGCAGCACCGAGTCCGAGGTCTACGACGACGGCACCAACACTTTCTTTTGGTGAGGCGGCCGCGGCGGGTGCGCGCAGAGGGGCCGTGGAGGCGCCCCCGACTTCCTGCCCAGGTCCAATCCCCTGGTCCCCGCATGGGCGCCTGACCGCGCGCCGGGGTTGAGTGGGCGTCTGCCGAGTGAAGGCTCCGCTCTGGCCCCTCGCTGGGCAGCTCTTCGACCCCCGCACCGCGCAGTGCGGCCAAGCTTCGGGGCCAACCTGCCCCCGCAGCCTGCCTTAATGGGGTCTGGAGGTAGCGGCCCCAGGAGAGTTCTTGCCCCAGGGCCTCCGTTGCAAGAGCTCGTGCTCTGGCGTGTAGCCCCTGTTTGACGCTTCGGGGCGTGCGGGTTCGGGAACCACCCCGGACCGACAGGCTCCAGGCGCGGCTCCTGCGTCCATGGCTCTGTGCCCTTGGGCTGGCTTTCGCCTTTCCGAGCTTCTCTTCATCTATTAGCGAGACAAACCTGTACGCTGAAAGCAACCTAATGAGAGGGGGGTTGGCTTTGCCTTGCGGGCTGCTCCGTTGCCGCCCAGCTGAACCAACAGTGCCGGCGTCGGAGTCCTGTGGGAGGTCCTGGGGGCACAGGTGAAGTAGAGGGGGCCTCGGTCCCACCAAAGCTCCCGGGAGAGACAGACGTGCGGTGCCAGCTGCCAGGGAAGGGCGACGTGAAAGCCGCCTCTCGTGAATCGAGGTGTGGATCCTCAAAGAAGGTGTGACCCGAACCAGAGAGCCCCATGGGAGTCATCGGGTGTTTCGGGGGAAGGTGGAAGCCTCAGGGGATGGGGCTGCTGGGTGTCCTGGTTTGTACCAGACCCAGGAGGGACGTGGAAGGTGGCCGCGGTTGGGGGAGGCCAGCCGGCATCTAGGCCAAGTCGGGGGTCTTCACTGTGGGTGCTAGTGGCTGGCTGCTTTGGGGGGCTAGTAGCCAGTGGGAGGAGAGGGATGGGGTTCTCATCAGTGGGGTGTGTGTCCAGAGCTAGTGACCCAGGCACTGTGGACCCTGCTGGACATGCTGTGTGGACCATGCTGAGGGACTGGGGGTTTCACACTGCAGTGGGGGTGGGGGTACACTCCCTTTCACACTGCCACAGGAGGGCACCTGCCTTGCCAAGGTTTCAGCCCTGCGCAAGTTCAGTATGGATTCAATGTGACCAAAGAAATGACAGTAGAACGTTCTTGGGGTGAAAGGGTTATACCAACTTTATTTCCATGGTGGCAGGTCAGTCACTAGAATCCTGTTCACTCAGTGAGTCTGCATGCAGCAAGCCTGTCTCTGCCTCTAGGCCTCTCCACCCACACAGCCATCCCAGTCTCTGTCCTCGGCACTGCCACCACTCCAGCCTCTGCTCTCCCGCAGCCTTGCAGCCCTGCCATCATGTTGCCCAAAGCACTGGGAAGAGCTCTTTATATAGAGTCAATAACGATGCATTGCCCACAAGTGTGTAGTGAGCCAGCCAACCAGGGCCAGGTAAGAATTCTGGCCACAGGAACCTTCACTTTATCCCCAGTACTGTCCTCACAGCCCAGCATGACAACTGGAGACTCAGGTCCTGGGCTCACTTTCCTTGTTTCCCATTCATTCAGCACATATTTGGGGGCACCTATTGGGTGCTAGTTCAGTTCTAGGGGACACAGCAGAGAACTAAAACAGGAAGCCTGGGTTCTAGTAGGAGCCTGGAATTTCAGAAGTCACAGATGTGCTGCTTACAGGTGCCGAGTGTGACTGCTCACCTGTGCGATTTCTTCCACAGTGCAGACCTGTGGCCCTCGAGGTCCCTGCCCAGGTGCTTGGTCAGTGGGAATGGGATGCAACACTGCTGCGGCTGAGCTTACCTTTGAGGTGGGCTGACGGGGCCAGGAAGCTTTCCAGGAGGGGAGTGTCATGAGGCCTCCCTTGTGGGCCTCCTGGGTGGGTGTGCAGGTTCCCGCTGCTTCCTGGGCCTCCCCCTCACCTGTGCAGGGGAAGGAGCACTGTGCTTCCTCATGGTAGGTAACATATGCCTGCCTGGCAGGGGTCACGTACTCTACCTGCAGAGCGTGGCTACTTACCTTCTTCTGTGTCTCCCTTCACCGACCTGCTGTGTTGGGATTTAAAAACTCTTATTTTGTGTTGTAGAATTTTAATAATGGCACTGAAAAATTAAGGTAAAGACTGAAGGTGTATGTTTGTTGGAATGACTTTACATTCGAAATTACTCAGAGGAACTTTTCCATGACCCCAAACCTTGTTTTTAGGGTTTTTGTTTCCAAAGGTTGGGCTTCTTTGGGGGCCACTGACTCTGGTATTGGGGGGCCATGTGTGAGGATTCTGAGTTTCTTTGTTACTGTAGGTTGCCCTCCATAGATGATTCTGTTTCTGTGGGAATTGATTGCCTTCCTTGGAATCTGTGGTGCACGTGCAGCTCACTAAATCTAAACCGAGATCTGTTTCTTGTTATCTCTACCCCCTCATTGCCTGGCCCAGGGACACTTGCCCCAGCGACCTGGGGGCAATTACATTCCTGGAGTAAAACATGTTAATCACTGTGTCTAGAAACTTGGTAACTCACTCAAGAATGTGATGCCTGATCAATAAATATGAGAGGTGCCTTTCCAGCACCGCTCTTGAGCTGGTGTGCCTCGAGTCCCCTGGCTGGGCCACTCAGGTCTTCGATATCTCATCGCGTCGCCTCCTTTATCTGCGGGTCGGAGACGGGGAGGAGGCCGACAGTTACAGCTTATCAGCCATAAGGATGGAATTAAGTCAGGTTTTGCCTGAGGCCAAGGAAGGGGGCGTGAGGATGGCTGGGGTCTGTGACGGCAAGGACGTGGTCACTCCTGCCGGTTGTGGTGGTCTGCACTGGGGAATGTCCACAGCCCCAGACTCAAAGGAGCGGCGTGTGGAGGGAAGGTGGCGAATGGCTACTGCAGGTTTCTTGGCCAGCTCCGCAGTCCGAGGAGGAGGAGGATTGTGACTCCTGAGCGTGCTTGCATGCTTGTGTATGATGACACCGAGCCTTTGGCGAGCACCCTTCGGGACTCCTGGATCTGCTGTCAGCACATTTCACAGTAACAGTGAAAGTATGTGGGAGGGCCTAGGTGCCTCAGGCCTTTTTCAGTCATTGTGGGTTAGGGGTTTAACAGCTTTGCCCACATCTGGAAAATGTGACTCTCTGGCTGATGTCCTTTTGGTCAGCAGGCCAGGAGGGTCAGTATCATGGCCCCAGGAGACCCCTGCACACGGCGGGCAGGGCATCTGGTCTTGACCTTTTCCAGCTGAGGCATCGTTGTGTACACCTTCGTGTTCTCTCTGCTTGGCTCAGCAGGCCTGTCTTCCTGCTCACACGCACAATGAGCATGGTCACCTGTAGAGAGGGGCCAACAGTGGGTATTTTCCACTTGCTGTGTCAGGAAGCCCTCCCCCTTGCTGAGTGACTGAAGTCACAGGATTTCTGGCCACTCTTGTCCTGTCTGGATTACAGGATCCATACCTTCCCCAGAGTTACCTGTCAGCCGCTAAACCAAACCATGCATATGTCTTCCTAGACACCAGGGAGGTGGAACAAGGGGCCACTGCCAGCGCTGACATCTGGCGGACAAAGTGATCTGCCCGCAGAGCCTCCCGTGCTGTCCTTGGGGCCCTGCTTCCTTCCAGACGGGCTGAGTTCAAGACAAGGGAGTGTTTGTGTTTTCCCCAAACTTTTAAGGTAATATGTTTATTTTCAACACCAAGTTTGCAAGTTACTACTTCTAATTTTAAAGATGGGAAAACCGAAAGATGAAGGTAGTTGCACAAGATCACAAATCTAGCAAGGGGCAAAGCTGGTACTAAGCGCCGTACTTTCTCCACCGCGCCGCCTTGCCTCTCCAGGGAAAACACCAAAGCAGGAAACTTTAACTGAACAATCAGAGGGAAGCACGGGCCACAGACTGAGCACGGGCCTGGGGACGGGGGTTACTGGATTCTGTCTCCAGTGCAGCCCTGGAAACTTTCTTCACCATCATTAGCTCCCAGTGAAAAGTGCCCTGTAAAGGGTGGGGCCCTTCTTGTACACATGCTATTTTATCTTAGTAGTGGTGGTTAGGTCCACATCTGTGTGTCCTTGTAAACAGGGCTGATAATCTCAGTCGGAATGCCCACATAGCATGTTGGAAAGTGCTCAGAGCTACAGGTGACGTGCCTCTTAGACTTACTACTGGTCAACAACGTAAATTTGTAAAGTGACTTTTAAAACATTTCTATCAGAAAGAAAACTATTGTTTTCTTTTTCTTTTTTTTTTAACCTTTTGGCCCCCTTCACCCATTTCTCCTACCCTGACTTCTACAGCCATCAGTCTGTTTTCTGTATCTATATATGTTGTTTCTTTTTATATTCTGCATAAAAGTGAAACCACATAGTATTGTCTTTAACTTATTTCACTTAGCACAGTGCCCTCTAGGTCCATCCCTGTTGCAAATGGCAGGATTTCCTTCTTTTTTATGGCTGAGTAATATTCCACTCTGTACATGTATCTCATCTTTATCTGTTCATCTTTTGATGGCTACTCAGGTTGCGTCCATGTCTTGGCTGTTGAAAATAATGCTGCAGTGAACCCTGGGGGTGCAGATGTCTTTTTTTTCTTCTTTTGATATCATTAATATACAATCACATGAGCAACATTGTGATTACTAGATACCCGCCATTATCAAATCCCCACCACATACCTCAGTCACTGTCCATCAGCATAGTAAGATGCTATAGAGTCACTTCTTGACTTCTCTGTGTTATACCCCCTTCCCCGTGCCCCCTCTATGTAGGTGTGCTAATCGTAATGCCCCTTGTTCCCGTTCTCCCTCCCTTTCCATCCACCCTCCCCAGTCCCTTCCCTTTGGTAACTACTAGTCCACTCTTGGGTTCTGTGAGTCTGCTGCTATTTTGTTCCTTTAGTTTTTTATTTATTCTTATCATTTGGTACTTGTCTTTCTCTGCCTGGCTTATTTCACTGAGCATAATACCCTCTAGCTCCATCCATGTTGTTGCAAATGGAAGGATTTGTTTTCTTCTTATGACTGAATAATATTCCATTGTGTATATGTACCACATCTTCTTTATCGATTCACCTACTGATGGACACTTAGGTTGCTTCCATTTCTTGGCTATTGTAAATAGTGCTGCGATAAACATAGGGGTGCGTATGTCTTTTTCAAACTGGTTCACCCCTTTTGTTTTTTATTATGTCTGTGGGGTTCTGAGCGTTGCTCTAGGGGCACCATGAACATTCCTGAGCCTTCACGCCCCAGGGTCACTGCTCTGCCACGTAAGCCCACGCTGCCCCGGCTGGCCTGCCCTCGGCTGGAGTGGTCCCCAGACAGCGTTGCGATGGTGTCAGCAGCTGAATGTGTTTCATGGTGCTTCAGGGCTACAAGGACGAGCTTACTTAACCTGGGTCCTGTCACTCTGTCTTTACTCTGGGCAGCACGCCTCGTGGCTCATTTCCCCTTTGAGCATCTGTTTTAGAGCAGGTCTGCTGGCTGCAAAGCTCCCATTCCTTCGCCCGAGAATGTGTAGTTAACTCTCACGGCTGAAGGATGTTTCTGCTGGATACAACCTGTGGGGCTGGAAGCATCCTCACTGGAGACGCGGAAACAGGCTGAGGGGTTATGCTGCCCCTTCAAGGATCAGTGCTCATCTGTGTCTGGAACAGGGTCTGTGGCCCCCTTTGCAGGCACTTGTTAAAATGAAGGGGGCCAGGTGCCCATCTGACATGAGGCAGCCTGCGTTCTCGTCTCAGTGGTGGGGCACGTCCCTGACTGGGGAGCCCCCATCAGGGCTTTAGAGCTATGCCCAAGCCATGGCACCTCGGGGTGCGCACCCTTCCTGCTCGGGGTCCTGCTGCCTCCTCCCCAGTGCTCATCCCCCAGCGGCCATCCTTGCGCATCCCTCAGATGTGGGGTTTCAGCATAGTCCTGCTCAGCAAGCAGTGCCACTCTGCGCAACAGACCTGCTGTGGGTGCCAGCAGAGGGATGCGCCCCCTGTCCCCCAAGCAGCAGCCTGGAGCACTCTGGCCTGCCCAGCCTGAGCCTCAGCTGGCATGTCGGAGTGGCATATGGGCCCGGCTGTCTCCTTTGGCTGTGGGCCACGTGTGTGCTGGCGTGCCCCTGCCCTGACATGGTCTCTGTATCTGGTTTCAGGCGAGCCCACACCTTAACCGTGCTCTTCATTCTCACCTGTGTGCTTGGCTATGTGACTCTGCTGGAGGAGACGCCCCGGGACACGGCCTACAACACCAAGAGGTGACCGGGCCCCAGTAGGTGGCGCGGGTGTGCTTGGGCGCGGGCCATTGCTGTAGGTGGGCTGGCCAGGTCAGGGGTCTGGCATCCCTCAGGCCGCTGGGCTCCCGCCTCGCTGTGTGTGTGCCTGGTGCACCTCCCAGGGCTGCCCGGGCAGGAGCACTCAGCCGCTCTCCCGCCTGTCCTCGGGGCCCCCGAGGGTACCGTCCCACTGTGCTTTGCTGCAGCCACAATGGGTGAGCCTGAGGAGGGGTCTGGCCGCAGGTTCTGAGGTGGGGACGGTCTCCCCACATCCAGCAAGCTGTGCTCCAGTGCCACCTGAGTGTCCCAAGCTTGACTAATGCACCATCTACCCTGAGGCTGTGTCAGACCCCACAGGGCAAGGGCTTCGTCCCACTGGAGAAGCCAGTCGGGGTTGTCGCTGCGCTTCTGACCAACCAGCTATAAACCTGAGGTTCCCACATCCCTCTCCTTTAGTTTGATTAGAGCGGCTCACAGAATCCAGAGAACATTTCACTCACTAGATCACCAGTTTATTATAAAGGGATACAACTCAGGAACAGCCAGACGGAAGAGACACACAGGGCAGGGTGTGTGGGGAGGCCTGGAGCCCCCATGGCCTCTCTGCCTCCACTGCCCCCAGATCTCCAGGTGTGCACCAACCGGAAGCTCTGATGCCCTCTCCTTCTGGGTCTCTGTAGAGGCTTCCTTTTGTGCACGTCACTGAGTCATTGGCCTGCAGCTGATCCAACCACCAGCCCCTCTTCCCTTCCTGGAGGTTGTAAGGTGGAGCAGAAAGTTCCGACCCTCTAAGCTCAGGGCTGGTTTTCCTGGCCACCAGCCCCCATCCTTAGGCGGGGTCCAAAAGCCCCCTCACTAACATAACAAAAGACCCCTGCCCGCTCTCTTGTACTTGGGAGGTTACAGGGCTTTAGGAGCTCTTCTGCAAAGAGGTGGGAGAGCAAACGCATTCTCTTTACTTCCTTCTTCTACACTTTTAACATTTTGTAAAAACTGTAAACTGGCTTTAAGACATCAGATGACTGTCTGGAGGACAAGCCCTTTCTGCAGGTCAGGATGTGGGTGGACTGTTTTCAGGACCGTCTGCAAACAGACTAGCCCACAGGTTTGTGTCCTTTGCCTGACGCGTGGCTTCCGAGGCCAGTGTCAGTGTGTGAGGACGGCCAGCAGCCATTGGAACTCGCCCCTCCTCCAGGCCCTGGACTCCTCTGGCTCCCCCAATCCGCTTTCTCTGTTGGGACGGCTGGAGGAATCCAGGCAGGGGTCTGGAGGCTGGTACCAGGGCAGGGGCAGAGCAGAGGGAGGCCCTGGAGGTCTGGCTGTGCCAGGGCACGCTGGTCAGCTTCGGTCGGTGGGGCTGGGACTGGGCACCCTTCGTCACTGGAGCCAGTCCTTGTTTTTGCAAAGCAGGTGTCCTGACTTCTGCCTGGGTGTGTGGTGTGAACCCCTTCCTTGCTCCACAAGTGTCAGCAGCCCATTAGGACACCACATGGCTTCTGGCCTCCCCCAGCTTGTCTCTGTTGCAGCCAGGACGTTTCTGGCCAGAAATGGCTGCCAGGGGCTCTGGGCTCAGGGCTTTGCCCCCTGGAGGAGCACGTGTTGACCTCACCTGGAATATGCCCTGCCTCCTAGCCCCACGTGCTGAGTTGTCCCCCACCTCTCCAGCCCTGGCTCCCAGTGGGCCTTGTGGGCCCCCCTCTTCGGAGTCCTGGGTGTCAGTTCCAAGTCCGAGACCTGTCCATACGGGCATTGCCCATTGCTTGGTGCCTCCCTGCTGCCCATTTTTGGCCATCCTGTCAGCTCTGCCTGACTGCACTGCAGGCCTGTCACCAGCGGGGTGGGTTGCCGGGGGTGCCTCCAGTGTGAGAGGCTGGGGTGCCGAGCCGCAGAGGTGCCACCTGCCAGCAGCAGAGATGCCTGCCTCCAGCCCCCGTGCAGGCTCACTGTTAGGGGCCTGGGAGTCGGCAGTGGGGTGGGAGGGGGTAGTTTGAGGGCCCCCAGGTGTCCTCTGCTCTCAAGTTCTGTTCTTGGGACTGGACGTCCTCTTTGCTTGCCGTCTCTGCCCCCCCGGCACAGAAGGAGTCCCGTGGTTCTGCCAGAACCTCTCCGTCTCCTCCTGGAAGCCACCACCTCCCCGGGCGCGTGTGTGGCTCTCCTGCTTCCTTGGGGCCGTGCACGTGGGTACACGGGCTCGTCAGTGCTGAGTCCGTTCTTCACCCGCTCGACCTCCGCCACTGTTCCCCCAGGGCCTGGAGGAAGCTTTTATTTTCATTACGTGAGAGCTTTATATGAAACCTAACCCTGGCCTTAGGTTTCATATATAGAAAATGCTTTCTAAAGCTTATTTTCAAAAAATTAATATTTATGTAGGAAATATAAATACAGGAAATTTGTCCTTACACTGTCGATTTTGGCTTATGTATCGTTGTCATTTTTATGGATCTAACAAGTTCTGTCACTTTGGAGCAGTAGGTTTTGTTGAAGTCTACTGATGTGTCATTTAACATACACTCTACAGTTGACCCTTGAACAATAAGAGCACAGGTTTGAACTGTGTGAGTCTGCTCACACATGGATTTTTTTCAGTAAACATATTGGAAAATATTTTGGAGATTTGCAACAATTTGAAAAGCGTGTTGTTTCCTAGCTTGCTTTGTTGTGAGAATCCCGCATGTGGTAACTGTAATGCACACAATGTCCGGTAGTTGACAGTAGTTTCTGCGGCTTCTGGGCAGCAGGTTACACATGGATGTTGGACTGTGTGAGCGGTCAGCGCCCCGACCCCTGTTCAGGGGCTGTCTGTAACTGGTGTGTACAGCTCTGTGAGTGTCCACAAATGCACGTGTCCAGTGGAGGTGTGTGCTGAGTTCCCTCTGAGCCCTGCCATCAGGCCTCCACCCCACTGGCCCGGGCCTGCTGACCTGTCGCCCTTGCCAGTTGAGCATTCTGTGCACACAGGGTCACCCTCATGCACCCTTGTGTCAGGCCTCTTGCAGCACTTGATGGTTTTGTGGATTCCGTGTTGTGTCTCTGCTGGTAGTGGTTCTGGTCATTACTGGGCAGTGTTCTCCTGTGGACGCCACAGTGCATTGATGCCTTTGTTGGTGACATTTAGGAGATTTAGGACATTTACTGTATATATAAATAAGTACATGCAAATCTATAAACAATACATACAGAACGTAAATATATTATGCTTTTTCTAACACAAAAAACAATACGTTCTCAATACTGAAGCAGAACAAAGCCAGAGGACCGACTGACCTGGCCGCAGGGTAGATGGAGCTCAGTAAACAGACGCACACGTACAGAGCGATCGCACGGAGCAGAGCCCTCTCTTCAGCAGATTGTACCGAGCAGCTGGGCATCTACATGCAGAAGGTGGATCCACCACGGACCCTACGCTTTTCACAGCGATTAATTAAACATGGCTTTTAGACCCAGATGTGAAACACAAAACTGTAAATTCCTTGAAGAAAACATGGAAAACCTGGTGACCTTGGTTTGGGTGATGACTTTTTAAATCCAACAGCAAAAATACAATCCAGGCATGAAAGATAAAAAAACGGCTAAGTTGGACTCAATTAAAATTAAAAACCTCTGCTCCGCAAAGCACACTGTTAAGACAGTGAAAAGATAAGGAAATATTTGCAAAATACACATTTGGTAAAGGACTTTATTCAAAATGCACAAAGAACTCTTAAAGCTCAACAATAAGAAAACAACACAAGCAAAAATTGGCAAAAGATCTGAAACAGACCCCTTAGCAAAGATACTCAGATGACAGATGGACACATGAAAGGCTTGGCACCACTTGTCACCAGGAAAATGCAAATTAAAAATGAGATGCCAACGCACAGCTATTGGAACGGATGAAACACCAGACACTGCCACATGCTGGTGAGGACGTGGCACAGCGGGGGCCCTGTGCCGGTGGGACGGCAGTGTGGTGCGGCCTTTGGACAGCAGCTTGACGTCTTTCAGAACTAGACATGTTGTGGTACAGCAGCCACACACCTGGGTGTTCATCCGAGTGGGTTGAGAACTGTGTCCACACAGAAACCTGCACCCAGATGTTTATAACAACTTTATTCATAACTGCTGAAATTTGGAAGCACCCAAGGTGTCCTTCAGTAAATGATGGATAAATGAACTCAGGTACATCCAGAGAGAATATTAAGCAGTAAAACAGAATGCACTATCAGGCTACTACTAAATAACAAAAACTCAGTGGAGGAAATCCAGAGATCAGACTGGTGTTAGTCAGAGACTCATGAGTCAGGCAGCTCCCGTCTGGCACCAGAAAGGAGCTCCCTGAGAGGTTTTCACAGGTAGAGAGGAGTACTAGCCAAGTGCAGAGGTTCAGGCGAGGTCGCCCTCCAAGGGGACGGAAGGCTGTGGGGCAGTCAGCTCACCAGTGCTGACCAGGTGACCCAGGCTGACCGGTTAGAGGTCACGTTCCTGCGTGGATGAGGCTGCAGTGAGGTGAACTAGGAAGTGCTGGTTTGCTGACCGGGAACTAGTGCCGTGGCTCCACTTGGAGCCCGCTGCCTCCTTTTCACACCCTGCAGCCGTGGTGGTGTCCTGTGTGCATACCACTGAGAGAAGGCTGCTAGCTGCTCAGTTCTGACTGCCGTCTGGCAAAGGTGCAGCTTTGCACTGGGGAAAGAACCAGTGGTTTCCAGGGCAATGGGGAGGAGGGTATGGGGTTTAAGGGTGCTGAGTGTGAGCTCTCTGTACAACACACGTGGTGTTTGGGGTGAGTGTACAACCCTGTGCATCTGTGAGAACCCATGGAACTCCACAACAGAGTGATCCTAATGTGTGAAGACCAAAGGAGTGTCAGCTGGGAGGTGGGACCCAGGAAGGAGCACAGATGCGGCCAGACTCCCTGCACCACGAATGCAGAGAGCAGAGGCGGGAGCCGGCCTGGTGGCCCTGCAGTGAGCAGGGCCCCTAAGGTTCTGGCACAGCAGCGGCTGTGTGGGCGCTGACCTCGGTGAGCTGCTTCTCGCTGGGTGCTGGCCAGTGCTTCTGATCCCGCTGTGCCCAATCTGGGCCTGAAGTTAAGGATGTAGGTGGGGATGCTGGGAGTCACACTTCTCATGGCTGGGTGGGGGGCCACATACTGACACAGGGAGGGGCTGGAACGGTCCGTGTTGTGGATTAGAGAGTCAGAATCATGTTTAACTTAATGTCCATATTGGTGGATACGCCTAAGTACTCATGAGTTTGTGTATATGTGCACTAAGGACCCACGTGTCTCCATGCTGTGCCGGCTAAAAGCATCTGGCAGCCATGATACCCTGGTGGCAAGGAGCACCCCAGGGCCCAGACTGTGGTTCCTAAGATCGTTTCCCGTAAAGGCACTGGGTCCTTGGAGAAATGGCTGACCCCAAGGCTGCAGCAGGAGGTGCCCAAGGTGGGCCTGGAGCGTCTCCTGGCACCAGGAAAGAAGTGCTCAGAATAAACAAAACCCCACATGGTGGTTTTGTGTCAGAGCGACCCAGGAGCCAAAGGACAGCTCACCAAGGGCCACAGAGGGGCATAGTTCAAGCACCACCGGCAGTAAAGTTGTCCTGAGTCCCTTCCAGTAGAGAGAAGTGGGGGAGGAGACTGTCCTCATGCAGGGGAACCCCAGTGAGATGGCAGGGCAGGGCCTTCTCAGCCCTTGGGAAGGGGAGGGGCTGGGGACCCTGTGGTCCTCTGGCATTCCTGCCAGTGCTTTTCACATGTGCACTGACACCGTGTGCCTCCTGCAGCCCAGAGGCTGGGTTGGACCAGAAACACGAGTGTCCCCTGGAGGTGCTGTGCTTGCCCTGCCATGGAGGAGCCTGCACTCTACATGGTGGCAGCATGCTGCCCTGGTGGCCAGATGCTCTTCCCAGCCACACTCAAGGCACCAGGGCCTCAGCCCCACTCCTGGCCGTGGTGCAGGGCTGGGCAGGAGCGCGGAGGGCTGCCGTGTGATGTTCACCCCTTGGCTCTGTGCGGGCATGTGTTCGCTGCTCTGTGTCCTCACGCTGGCTGAGTGGGTGGAGGCCCAGCCTCCTGTCTGTCTCGAGTCAGCGCCCCATGGGAGTGTGACAGTCAGCAATGGGAGAACAGTGGCCCTGCACCCTCAGACCCTGGATAGCTGGGCGAACAGCCACTCTGGGCTGTCACCTTGCTCCTCCTATCCTGGGCAGGCGCATCCGTGTTTCATGCGTGGCATAGTTCCAGTCTTAACGTTGTCTTGACATTTCTGTTGGGATGGGGTGAGCTGGCCTCGGGACAGAAGAGCCTTCTGGAAACACCTGTCGGGGGCCTTGCCTGGTTGGTTCCCCACCCTGCAAGGGTATCATGTGGGCAGCAGGGGTGTTTGGTGGAGGGCAGGTGAGTAACGTGCAGCCCAGTGCAGGGCCTGCTCCCTGCTACCCGGGGTGGCATGGCCTCCGGGCAGTCAGCATGGGGTCAGCCAGCCTCCTCCCAACCTGACCACCAGGTCTGCTGACCGCAGTGGGTGTCCTGGGCCCCTCCCTGCCCACCTCCACTTCGCACACTGAGGGGCTGTTTGTTCTTCATTTGCAGAGGTATTGTGGCCAGTATTTTGGTTTTCTTATGTTTTGGAGTCACACAAGCTAAAGACGGGCCATTTTCCAGACCTCATCCAGGTAACTTCACATTTCTTTCTCCATGTGTGCCCGCGTGGCAGTGCTGTTCCCAGGGGTCGCTCTGGGCCTATGCTGCTGGGTGTGAGTGTCCCACTGCCTGGCCACTGGGTGGCCACCACTGGCTCTTGTCAGCCCGCAGGGCTGGGGCCGGGTTCCAGGATCGCCCTCAAACCCTCTCCCCACGGCTCCTGTCCATCTCGCTGTTCCTTGCTCTGCAGCCCGCAGCCCTTCTCCTGCCTTATCCGCCCCCTCTAGGTCTGGGGTTCTTCCTGTGGGCCAGGGTTCCACGGGGTTAGCATGGACTTGGGCTGGCATCGCCAACTCTCCCACCCCCTGAGTTATGGGGGTCCTAACCACCCCCTGGTGTTGGAGAGCTGAGAGCATCCCTGGCTGCCCGGCCCAGCCCACCTGTGAGTCCCACCCAGGGCCGGGCTTCAGCCTCACCAAGGAGTGGCCTCTGGGCCAGGGATGGGCAGTTTTCCTGAGCATCTCGATGTAGTAACAGGTTTCTTTTTTGTCTCAATAGGGGTGTGTATCTATTGTAGAAAAATCGGGAAATAATAAAATATATTTTTAAATATAAATAAAAACTACTCACAAGGAACAATCCCTCTTCAGTCTGAATGTGCTTGTACACATGAGCTCTGAGCATGGGGCTGCTGCGTGGAGTCATCACGTACATACTGGCACACACAGCCCCACTGTGGGGGGTCTGTCTTGTGCACTCATCACATCAGGGTCCCAGCACATCCCTGGTGATTTATTTGCTGGCAGCTGGGTCTTCCATGGCTGCTGGTCCAGCTGTGGCCCAAGCACACTGCAGTCTAACCCTCCCGTGTCACTGCACGTCAGGGGTTGTGGTGGGGCTTCGCACATTTGTGCACATGCACACCTGGTGCCCATCGAGGAGTCCTGGGGGTGGGAGTAGCACTGAAGGGGGTGAGCATTTAGGGCCTGTGATGGGGACTGCTACCCGGGGCGCAGTGGACTGCCCCCATGTGCCCCCATGGGCAGTGGCGGGCAGACCCCAGCCTGGGCCACAGGACCCTCTGTACCTGTGATCGTCAGGCAGCCCTACCTTGCCTCCAGTGGGCTTGGACTGTTGACCTGAGCAGTGGCTTAAAAGCCTCCAGAATCTCAGCAAAGAACCCGGTACATCCAAGTGCTGCCCAGATTGATCTGGAAGGAATAGGTGGAGAGAAATCCACTGACACTTGTCAGCAGTGGATGGCACAGGAGCCCCTTGGGTGCTAGGCTCAGCTGTGTGCTGCCCATTGGGCTGCCTGGGTCAGACCTGCTGCAGGCAGCTGCTTGCCTGACTCCTGGGACAGCCTGGGCTCCAGTCTTGTGTCACCTGGCCAGATGGGATCTATCTTGCCACTTCCACTGGGCTTGCTCTGAGCGTGAGCATAAGCCCCCCCGGGGTGGTGGTGGGAGGGTGCGCCTGCTGTGCATTCCCTGCTCTTTCCCCTGCCCTATTTTGCATAAACTCCGGTGTCCTTGCCAATCTTTGATTTAAGGAACGAGCACCTTCTTGTGTCTTGTTAACCTAGCAGTTGGCAGGCAGTCCTCAGCCTTCTCGGATCATAGGGCAGCACCCTGAGAGGAACTGCGACAGGGTCTTCTGACTCCAAGTGGAGGTGCTCCAGGGCCCCGCTGCCTCTGTCTCCCTCAGGACAGAAGGAGGCTCAGGGCCCACAGGCCACGCAGTTGCTTCATTTGGCAGCCTGAGTTGTTCGCAGTGGGACTGGCCCGTGGAAAAGGTCTTTCTGTCATGGATTTATTTGGACCTGTGGCTTCCACTGAATGTTACCAGTGTGGTTGAGAGGCCAGATTTGATGTTTAGGAAGAGAATTAGAGTGTTGGGGGCAGGGATTGAGCTGGGGGGCCAGCCGGAGGTGTCTGTGGGGTGGTCCTGGGGAGACGGAGGAAAGGGGGACCTCTGAGCCCTGGGGGGTGCGGGCGAGGTGGCTGCCTTGATGTGGGCAGTGAGGGGCCTCCTCCAAGGGCGCATGGAACGTGGGGAGAGACTGGTTCATTCCAGACATGGTCCCAGTGGCAGGACGTTCCCAAAGGAGTGTGCTCCCAAGGGTGCCTGCGGCCGTGCATGAAATGCCCTGGGATTCTCTGCAGCCCTGCAGCTGCTGTCATGGGAGAGTTTCCCAGGCCCTCCCTCCCCCGTGTTCCTGGACCCCCAAAGTCCAGGTTCTTGAGTTTCAGCATTGGAGAAGTGAATACTGAGCTTGAGAGGAAGCAAGCGGGCTGTGTTCATGAGAGACGGCCCCTGTAGTCAGGAGCCGCGGGAGGCGTCGGTCGCGCGTAAGGCCTGTGAAGGTGTGTCGGGGTGAGGGCTTTGGGAGAGTCCCGGGACCTCATCTGGCCTGGAGAACGGAATGTCCTTATCTGTGGCTTCAAGGGGGCTCCAGGCAAAATTCCTGAAACTCAGAAAGGTCTGGTTAGAGGGCAACATGGAGCTGAGGTTTGACTTACCTTGTTTCAAAATGGAGTTAGACTTACTTAGAGCCTCTAACACCAGGGCACAGAGAACCACTGGTCACCTCGACTGTGTGTGCGCCCTCCCTCCTAAGTAGAGCGGGCCCGCCACCCACCCACTGCCTCTCTGACGCCCACCCGAAGCAGGGTCATGAGCAGGAGGCCCGGCCGAGATGCGCTTGTGAGTCCCTGGAACACCCATGGCCCAGCTGGGGTCTCCCGGGCAAGGTCCCTCAGATGTCTGTGAGCACCGCCCTGCTGATGGTGGACTCGGTCTGTGAAGCAGACTGGCGGGTATTAACAGACATTAACAAAGGGCAAGTAGGTAGGTTAGGCTTTTATTAAACAGGACTGTCAAGACCCTAGAAGGTAAAAGCCATCTTTGTGTCTTAGAATAGCTCTAGACTTAACCTCCTGTCTCTCCCCCGCATCTGTTTTAGATGTAGAAGTGCAGGTGGCAGGACATCCTGGCTAGTGAGAGAAGTTGGAAGGGACAAGTTCCTTCCCTCAGCTTTATGGGCTCTAGCACCCATGACATCAGTGTGTAAGCATGTGAAACACTAAGTCTAGGTCATAGAGTACATGTATGTAGTGTGAAACGATGGCCCCAGTAGGTCAATTAGCACTTAAGTTATGCACGTAATTAAAATTCTTGTTGTGGTGCGAACGTCCAGGTCTGCTCCTGTAACGGCTGGCAGGGTGGAACACGGTAGGGTAGCCCTAGTCCCCACCGGGACGAGCTCTTTGTAGCCAGATCAGGTTCATCCCAGGACTCGGGTGTTCAGCCTGAGGTGGGCTGCTGTTCCCAGTACGTAACACTGAAGGAAGGAGTTAATTGCCTTAATTGCAGAATAAAACCTTACACTTGTGTAAAAACCTAGCACACTAGAATTAAAAGATTTCCTTACTGTGGTGTGGCCATCAAAAACTTGCCCGCGTATCTGATGATGGTCAGGAGCATTGCTAGTACACGCGGGACAAGGGTGTTTGCTGCTGTCCTGGGCCCCTGGGCCACATCAAGGCCGCCTGGGCCCCCGGGCCTCCTGGGCCTCAGGGCCACATCGGGGTCTCCTGGCCTCCTGGGCTGCGGCTGAGACAAGGGGAAGAAATCAAAAGACTCAAGAGCTGGAATTGAGGGGCGGGGAGGCACTGGGGAGGGGCTGTGTGCCCCAGCCTAGCCGGGCCTTCTTGGGGGGGGACGCCACGCAGGGCAGGCCCCTGATCCGTGTGCTCTTGTCACTGCAGCCTACTGGAGGTTTTGGCTCTGTGTTAGTGTGGTCTACGAGCTGTTTCTCATCTTCATACTCTTCCAGGTAAGTGGGTTTTCTTGGTTGGATGAGCTGGGAATTCGGGTGGTGATGTGGCCCTGGGCAAGTGAAGGAAGTGAGGCTGGACCCACAGAGATGCGATCAGTTGTGGGAAGACCGTAACCATGGCGCTTCTGCAGTCTGTTCTGAGCGTGGAGCACGGTGTGGGCCCTGCCCTTTGGCCTCCCAGCCGGGCCTGCCAGGGCTGAGTGGACTCCAGGTTGCAGGTGCCCTGAGCTGAGCAGGGGCCAAACCCAGGGGAGAGCAGCATTGCAATCCCACATGGGCACACAAGTGTGTGAGCTGGACTGGGCCAGGCATGCACGGACTCGTTGTGTGGCCACCAGCTGGGCTCCTGTGCTCTTTCCCCTCCTTGCACTGCCCAGCAGCACAGTTGGGGTGGGGGCTGGGAACGCGTCTCTTTAGCAGGTCTGGGCTCAGGATTTGTTCACACTAAGTCTGTTGTGTTGATGCTGCTGTTCTGCTTAATTTAAGGAGCACACATTTTGGTGGTGTTCAGTTTACTGAGTACTCCTGCTCACAGACTCCAACCTGTCATTGTGTGACGGGGCCAGTCACCCTTGCGTGGTGAAACTCCTTCGCCTAGGGAGCTGCACTGTCCCGTCTGTTCACGCCTGCGTGGGCACCTTCGTCAGCTTGCACCCACCCGCCAACATCACCACAGCTCATACGCCGGCGTGGGTGCTGCAACTCGCCCTCCCTGAGCGGTGGCTCCCGCCATGCCGCTGCTCCATGCTTACCGCCTGCAGGTGCTGGTGGTGTTGGGGTGTTTGCGGTCCAGCTGTCTGAGCAGCTGCCCCGAGTAGCTTGGGACCTGGGCCTCCATCCCTAGGGAGTGCAGGCGGGTGTGCCCACGTTGCATCTGCCTCATGCTGCTGCCAGCACTTGGGCATTTTGGCGCTGGCGCAGGTGTGGAGGGAGGAGTGCCCTAGCTTAGTGTGCTTTCAGAACAGCCAGCGATGCTGACCAGCTCCCCAGCCACGTTGAGGAGCCATGCGACTGTCCTTCCTGGTGAAGTTTCCTTCCTTACCTTTCTTAAAAATCAGTTGGTTTGTTTTCATCGTGTTGAGTGTGACAGCTTTTTAAACAGCCCTGACATGAGGCCCCTGCTGAGTGTGTATTTTCTCCAGGCCTGTAGCTTGTCCGTCACCCTTGAACAGCAGCTTTCATCATTTCTTTTATGTCATGTCTCAGATTTCTTTGTCTCACCCCAGGTTATTAAGATTTTCTCCTAAAATCTCTTGATTTTGTATCTTACATTTAGACATCTCATCTGTCTTGAGTTTTTAACATTTTGACTTAATTATAGACTCACGGGATGTAGAGTCATGGGGGTCCCTGTGCCCCACACCCCACTCTCTGCGGTGGCAGTTTACCTAAGGGGCAGTGACACAGAGCTTATCACGCTCACCAGCTTGGCATGCACACATGCTTGTGTTAGGATTTTGAGTGGTTTTTATTTATTTATTTTTATTATAGTGTATTTAATCAGAATTTTTTGAATTCAGTAAAATACTCATAGCATAAAACTACCTTAGCCACGTCTCAGTGCACACTCAGCGGCATTAGGCACGTTCACGCAGTCTACAGCCATCCCCACCACCTCCAGAGCTTCCCCCCCAAACACCACCCCCTCCCCAGCCTGGGGGCCCCTACCCACTCCCTGTGCCCATGGATCTGGCGGCTCCCAGCCCTCCCGGGAGGGGGTCATGCAGCATCTGTCCCTCGTGTCTGGCTCATTTCACTGAGCACAGCGTCCTCAGGTCCCCAGTGCTGCAGTGGAGCCAGATGGCACTCCCTTGAAGGCTGAGTGACAGCCTGCTCTGGACAGACACATGTGTTCACCTGTTCATGGGTGGACCCCCAGGGCGACCTCACCATTTGCTGCTGTGACTCATGCTGTTGTGCGGTTGCGAAGTGTCTGCACTAAGCTCTGCCCTCAGTGCCCTGGGTGTGTGCCCAGAGGGGCCCTGCCGGGGCAGGCGGCAGCTGTTTTCCAAGGAGCCTTCGTGCTGCTCTCCGCAGCGGCCGTGTCTTGTGTCCCTGCCGGCCGCGCACAGGGGTCTCCAGCGTTTCCACATCCTGCACAAATAACACTTGCTCTTCTGTTTGTTCTGTGTTTTGTTTGGCTCTTAGCCATCCTAATGGCACCACCTGGTGATAAGGTGGCATCCTGTGTGGGTCTGATGTGCCTTCCCTGGTGGCTGGCAAGGTTGAGCACCTTTTCATGTATTTATTGACCATTTGTGTATTTTCTAGGGAGACCAGCTTTTGGTTTGAATGATTTTTATGGTCAATATTTCATTTTATTTATTTGAAATAACTTTTATTTAAAAACAGATTTACAAAATTGGAAGCTAGTACCGAGAGTCCTCAAAGCCTGCCCCACACCTTTGGGACCACCTTACGCTGATGTGGCCCATTCATGACAGAGCCCATCATGAGTCATTCTAGAGTCCACATTTCTCCAGACGCTCTCAGTTTTTCCCTAATGTCCCTTCTCTGCCCTAGGATCCCCTCCAGACCCAACAGGACACTCAGCGGTCACGTGTCCCAGGCAACTCCGGCTGACAGTCCTCAGATGTCCCATTAGGGTGACCTGGGCAGGTGTTGAGTGGAACGTCCCTCACATGGGATTCGAAGCAGGGACAGGGGTCTGTTTGTCCCTCCTTTCCAAGATGGTTTTGACACGTGTGGGTCCCCTGAACGTCGTGTTCCAGGGCCGCCTTCTCTGTCTGCCGTGGAGCTGTCCCCAGTGCCTGGACACAGGTGTCCCTGTTCATTTACATCTTTCTTTTCTCCGAGCAGCACGTAGTCCTCAGGACGCCCGGTCCGTGGTCCCTCTGCTAAGCTTACTCTGAAGGACTTTGTTCTCCATGCTGCTGACCTCCTTTCTGGTCTGCTCGGCTCTACCGTACAGAAATGCAACTCCCCTCTGTCTGTCTGTCCTGCAGCCTAGCCGTTGTGCCAGGGGCGCTGTTCTGCCGGCGTCCTGAGGCTTCTGTGCGCGGGTTGTGTCCTCTGCGGTTTGCTGATTCCTTTCCAGCCGGGCCCTGGTTTCCCTTTTCTTGCCTTCCTGCCCCGGCTGGAACCTCCGGCTGAGGGTGGGTGGCCTCACTGTGTCCCTGACCTCACCAGGGTCCCGCCTGTCACTGAGGTTGGCCCCTCATCTAGGAGGAGGTGCCGCTCTTTCTGACTGTTGAGTGTATTTAGGAAGAGGTGTTAGGTTGTGCTAAATGCTTTTTCTGCATAATGATCAGGTGGGTTTTCCCTTCATTAGTATGACATTGATTTGTTTTCTTATTTTGAGTCAACTTTGCGTTCCTGGAGTAAATCCTACTTAGGTGTGCTGTATAGAACCTTTTAAGTACTGCTGGGTTCAGTTTCCTAGTATCTGGCTGAGAATTTTTTGCCTTCATATTCATACGAGGCCTTGGCCTTTTTTCCTGTCATGTCCTTTTCTGGCTTTGGCATCAGGGTGACTTGGGACTTGGCAGGTGATTTTCTCATGATTTGACAGGGGTGGGGTCCACTTGGCCTGCGTAGCTCATCCCAGTTGAGGCGTGTCTGGGAGGTTTGGGAGGGCGTCCCTCTGCACAGCCTGTGGGAAGGGTGCAGAGGAAAGCCCCCCTTGGCGGGGGCCTCCCCAGAAACTGCGTGGAAGTCCATACAGGAGGCTTGTCTTGCGTCAGTGAGCACCCATGCGACCCACCCCTCCCACCGCCTGGCTGCTGCTCTCCCAAGGCAGGGCTGTGACTTGGCCTTCACTGCAGCGGGCTCACGGTTGTGGCCCCAGGCTGTCTTTCCTGGGGCCCACCCTGCCCGTGGCCATCGCTCCCAGGGACTGGCCAGGTCCCCTGGCAGCAGCAGTGCCCTTGGGTCTGCTCCTCGGTCCTGCTACCCAGGTGGTCCCAGTTGTTGATGTCACTGAGGGTCCCTTCCGAAGGCCCCAGGCTCCGGGGTGCTCCCTGGGGTGGGTTGCCTTGCGTTGTGTGGTGGCCTTGGTTTTGTGACACGGTACAGGTCTGAGTGTCTGTCACCTGCCCGCTGGCCTGAATGTGTTCTGTCAGCCAGCCTCACCCCTTCCCTGCTTGGCCCATTGGCTGGCACTCAGGGCAGGAGTGTAGGGACAGTGACTGGGAGCTCTTCCCTGTGGACTGGGCTCAGCTGGTGATTGTGGGGGCCGCCGCCTCTGCCAGGGCGCAGTCCCAACACTCCTTCTGCCGAGGCCAGAGCAGCGCAGGGAAGGCCCTACTAATGTTCTGCTCTGAAGGGCCTGGGTGGGCCATGATGCTTGCAGGCAGGGGAGGCGGCCAGGCCTGGGGCTCAAGCCCGACCCTGTGCTCAAGTTGCCACCCCTCCTGAGGGAGCCCTGTGACCCCATGCTGCACAGCACAGTCCTGTGGCAGATGTGGAGGCTCGCCTCAGACTTGGAGCCCCTGTCTGCCCGGCCCTAAGTTGGGGGCAGCTGTTGAGACAGGGTGCTTGGCCCCAGGGCGGGTGGGGTGTTGTCCACACACCACAGACCCCTATCCACACGTACGGCGCCTTAGCTGGCTTCCTGTGTGGCTGCCCCTGGGGTGTGGCCCACTAACGAGGGCGCTGGCCTTGCAGACCGTCCAGGATGGCCGCCAGTTCCTGAAGTATGTGGACCCCAGGCTGGGGGTCCCACTGCCCGAGAGGGACTACGGGGGAAACTGCCTCATCTATGATGCGGACAACAAGACCGACCCCTTTCACAACATCTGGGTGAGGGTGCCCCCCTGTGGGCACCATGTCACACCCGCAGGGCAGCGTCCCGCGGTGGGGATTGTGAAGGCATGCCCCTGGGCCGTGTCTGTAGACTGGATCCTAGTCCGGCTCAGCCCTCCCTTAGAGCAGGGTTGGGGGTCAAGGATGTACAGCCCACTCGTAGGGAGGCCACAGGGGGACCCCCAGCTCACACAGAGGCGGGCTGTCTAGTTAGATGGGGCACCCTTTCTGCTGGGTGGTTAGGGGTATCATCTCCATGTGCCCACAACATGTGCTTGAGACCCCGCTGCATCCCTGGGGCTGGCAGGCACTGCTGGAGGGGCCCTGGAGCTGGGTGGGGGCTGTCCCAGGGGCAGGTGGGCCCCCCACACCACCTGGACCTGGGTGTCCTGTCTCCCACAGGACAAGCTAGATGGCTTCGTGCCTGCACACTTTCTTGGCTGGTACCTGAAGGTAGGTGGGTGGGCACTTGGTTTCCAGGCATGAGGTGACCTGTAGCAGTGGGTGCCTGGGTTCCCAGCCATCTGTCTCTGGGGCCATTCCCCAGCCACAGGCTGACGTCTAGCACCATCGGAGTGTGGTGGGCAAGGGCCCAGGGGCCACGGCCCGGGGTGCTCCCTGGGGCATCGGGGGCAGGTGGAGGCAGCAGGGCCCCGCCCCCCTGGCCTCAGGCCCCGCCCAGGGGCTGACGGGCTGTGCGGCCCGCAGACCCTGATGATCCGCGAGTGGTGGATGTGCACCATCATCAGCGTCACGTTCGAGTTCCTGGAGTACAGCCTGGAACACCAGCTGCCCAACTTCAGCGAGTGCTGGTGGGACCACGTAGGTGCCGCCCCAGATCTGCCCTGCGGGGGGGCCGCGGACACAGGGCCCCTCAGGCGGGGCCCACGGGCACCTGCCTCCCATCTGCTCCCGCCCCCAGTGGATCATGGACGTGCTCATCTGCAACGGGCTGGGTATCTACTGTGGCATGAAGACCCTCGAGTGGCTGTCCCTGAAGACATACAAGTGGCAGGGCCTCTGGAACATTCCGACCTACAAGTACGTCTTGTAGCCCTGGTTCTGTGGGGTCCTGGATGTCGGTGTGGGGTCTGGAAGAGCCCCTGAGGTCTAGGCCAGGCCTTGCCTTTCGGGAGGCATGCCAGCCAAGGATTCTGCCTCTTGTGGTCTCCCCCCGGGGACTGGGTCCAGGCTGCCCAGGAAGCCTGTCCCCGCCTAACCAGCTCCCCTCGGCCACTGACTAGCCACCTCCCTGTGAGTATTGAGGTACCTTGTCATTATCGCTTGGGGATTCTAAACAAAGAAATGGTTTGGGGAAGGCTTAGGGGTACTGGGATGGGGGTCCTTGGCCACTATGGGGGAGCTCCTTGGGGTGGGAGGAACCCAGGGTTGTGGCACGGGTGCTGCTGGCCAATGGGCTCCCACGTTTTCAGGGGCAAGATGAAGAGGATCGCGTTCCAGTTCACGCCTTACAGCTGGGTCCGCTTCGAGTGGAAGCCTGCCTCCAGCCTGCGCCGCTGGCTGGCCGTGTGCGGCATCATCCTGGTGGTAAGGCCGGCCCCTGCGTGCGGCCCCCCGCAGCCCGGCTCTTGCCCACCCTCCTCTGTCCCTCAGTTTCTGTTGGCAGAGCTGAACACGTTCTACCTGAAGTTTGTGCTGTGGCTGCCCCCCGAGCACTACCTGGTCCTCCTGCGACTGGTCTTCTTTGTGAACGTGGGTGGCGTGGCCATGCGGGAGATCTACGACTTCATGGATGACCCGTGAGGGCTGCGGGCATGTGGGCAGGGACCAGAGCCTGTGCCCTCGTGCATGCCCACGACCCTCCGCGTGTGTCCCCCGCAGGAGGCTGCACAAGAAGCTGGGTCAGCAGGCCTGGCTGGTGGCAGCCATCACAGCCACGGAACTGCTCATCGTGGTGAAGTATGACCCGCACACACTCACGCTGTCCCTGCCCTTCTACATCTCCCAGTGCTGGACCCTCGGCTCTGTGCTGGTGCTCACGTGGACCGTGTGGCGTTTCTTCCTACGGTGAGCCCTGCAGGGCCCTGCTGTCCCCTGGGTGGGCCTGCCTGCTGTCTGCCTTGCCCCCTGGCCTGTGGACCCTCCCTGCGACCTGGAGCTGCCCTATGAGGTCACTGGTGGTGACACAGCCCCTGCTGTCCGCAGGGACATCACCCTGAGGTACAAGGAGACCCGCCGGCAGAAACAGCAGAGCCATTGTGACCAGGGCACAGCTGTGGGCCACATGCACGGGCCCCTTCCTGGGCCAGAAGACCCCGAGGTGACTGGGGCCGTGCCAGGGCAGGAGACGCTGGCTCCGAACTGAGAATGCAGGCCTGCTGCCCCCTCATCCTCCAGGGCACCCCCCAGGAGCCTCGCTCCCCTCACTCCTGCGCATGGGGCAAGGCTTCTGTGGATGGAGTGCACCCTGTGCCCTTGGTTCCCGAGGCTTCTCTCAGGCTGGCAGTCATGCCTTGGGCTCCCCACAGAGGCCCACCCTCCCTTCTGCAGGTGAGCTGGTGCCTGGGCAGAGGCTCACGGTGCTGCCTGCTCCACTCCATGGGCCCCAGGCCACACTGGGCCCTGCCGTGCCCACGACCCTCCGCGTGTGTCCCCCGCAGGAGGCTGCACAAGAAGCTGGGTCAGCAGGCCTGGCTGGTGGCAGCCATCACAGCCACGGAACTGCTCATCGTGGTGAAGTATGACCCGCACACACTCACGCTGTCCCTGCCCTTCTACATCTCCCAGTGCTGGACCCTCGGCTCTGTGCTGGTGCTCACGTGGACCGTGTGGCGTTTCTTCCTACGGTGAGCCCTGCAGGGCCCTGCTGTCCCCTGGGTGGGCCTGCCTGCTGTCTGCCTTGCCCCCTGGCCTGTGGACCCTCCCTGCGACCTGGAGCTGCCCTATGAGGTCACTGGTGGTGACACAGCCCCTGCTGTCCGCAGGGACATCACCCTGAGGTACAAGGAGACCCGCCGGCAGAAACAGCAGAGCCATTGTGACCAGGGCACAGCTGTGGGCCACATGCACGGGCCCCTTCCTGGGCCAGAAGACCCCGAGGTGACTGGGGCCGTGCCAGGGCAGGAGACGCTGGCTCCGAACTGAGAATGCAGGCCTGCTGCCCCCTCATCCTCCAGGGCACCCCCCAGGAGCCTCGCTCCCCTCACTCCTGCGCATGGGGCAAGGCTTCTGTGGATGGAGTGCACCCTGTGCCCTTGGTTCCGGAGGCTTCTCTCAGGCTGGCAGTCATGCCTTGGGCTCCCCACAGAGGCCCACCCTCCCTTCTGCAGGTGAGCTGGTGCCTGGGCAGAGGCTCACGGTGCTGCCTGCTCCACTCCATGGGCCCCAGGCCACACTGGGCCCTGCCGGCCCCCATCGGCCTCCTAGACCATGTATGAGGGGTGATCGCCCCAGGATACTAGACAGCCAGAAGGAGCCCTCGCCTGACCCAACTGCTGGGGGTTGGAGGTGTCACTGACGGGCCTGAGGGGCATTGAGACAGGAGCTGGAAAGCCTAGTGCTCCAGGTCAAGGAGGGGCTGCAGGAGCTCCATGACCCAAGCTGAGGGTCACGTCCATGAGCAAACAGAACAAATAAAAGCAACCGAGGTCTGCAGCTCTGTGTCCTCGGGGAGCAGGTTCTGGTCGGGGTGGGGGCAGATCCCAGCTGTGGAACAGGTACAACTTACCTTGAAAACTTGCAAACAGACAGTGAGAAAAGCAGCTGGATTTCTCTATACCGACCCTGGCCACCCCATCCCCCAGCCCAGGGCAAAGCCCTAGTGCCACTTTAGGGCCGCTCTGCCCCTGGAGGGCCCTTGGCCTCACAGTGCTTTCATTTCTTAAATTATTTCCTTTTAACTATTTCTTGGGAGAATACCAGCACCCATGGCCCCTCCCAGGAGCACCTCCAGTCCCTGTGGTGGGGGGCTTGAGGGCAAGGTCTCCACTTCCGTGGTCTCTGCAGCATCCTGTCCCTTGAAGTGAAGCAAGCTGCACCCGTGCTTGCGTGCCCGATGCAGTCATACCTGGCCGTGGGTGCTGGTCTCAGCCATGCTGCCTAGAGGCTTCCCCAGTAGCCCTCAGCCCAGTGCCAGAGCCCAGGCCAATAGGCCCCACCTACCTGGGGGTCTTGGGCTGGCCCCACAGTGCATGTGCTGAGCTGGGTAAGGGCTGCTCTTAGTGCCACAGGGCCACACCCACAGGTACGAGCCAGCACCACTGGGCAGGTGACGAGGCTCTGGGTCACAGCCTGCCTTCCCTGGAGTGAGGACCCACGGTAGGCACTGCCTGGGGTGCCATTGCTTCAGGCCCAGACCTGGGTCACTCAACTTCCCAGGAGCCCTGCTTCCTTCTAGTAGGGGTTATATTTATAAACCAAGGCCCTGGGGCACTTTGCAGGCATTCTAGCAACAAGCCTGGAGTTGCTGCTCAGGCACCCGACCCTCTGGGAGCTGCTGCTGATCTCATGGGCCACCCCGAGCAGTGTCCCCTTCTTGATTGTGCGCATCAGGGCAGGTCACTCCTACGCTGGTCCCTGCTGGGACAGAAGGAAAGCTAGGCTCAAGGGTGGACCCCACACTCCCATCCAGAAGGCTCTAGGCTCCACCAGGACAGCAGCCTGGGCCAGCAGTTCTGAGGCCCAGGGAGCAGCTCCAAGTGGGCTTCCAGCCCACAGGGCTGTTGGGTGAGCCACTGACCCAGGCGCACAGGCTGCTGACGGCAGACAGCACATTTCAGGCCCCTCAGCACAGGTGCAGCTTGCTTCACTTCCAGGGACAGGATGCTGCAGAGACCACGGAAGTGGAGACCTTGCCCTCAAGCCCCCCACCACAGGGAGTGGAGGTACACCTGGGAAGGGGCAGGACCCCAGCTGGGCACAGCACACAGGAGCTCATTGGAAGCTGCTGGTGACTTGCAGGCAGCAGGAGTGCCCACCAGTGCCTGGCCCCCCAAAGCAGGAGTGCCCAGCAGGGACCCAAGAAAGGACAGGAGCCTCCAGCCAAGAAGGCACTTTAATAAGGTGTCTGCCATTTTCTTGCCATCAGTTGACAAGCACCTCTCTTCAGTACGGTGGTACTCAGAAGATGACCCTCAGGCCTGGCCTCCTGTCCTCCAGGGCCCGCAGACGGCCCTCCACTTCCTCTGACCAGTAGATGTCATACAGGCTGCATGGGGTGGACCAAGCTCAGCCCATGCCACCCCAGCAGCCCTGTGTCCCCCTGGGCAGGTGGCCCCACCCCGCCCCGCACTCACACCAGCTGCTCCAGGGCACAGCCAGGCTGCTCCAGGCTCTCCAGCAGCTGCGTGACACCAGGGTCGCCCATGCAGTTGTTGCTGAGGTCCAGCTCCCGCAGGCTGTGGTTGGCCAGCAGGAGCGAGGCTAGGCTGCTGCAGCCACTGTCGGTCACCTCGCAGTCCCCCAGCCTGGGTGGAGGTCAGGGATGGTCAGGACAGAGGGTGCACCCCTGGCTGCCACTGACCGGCTCAGTGCCCAGGCCTTGTGTCCCACCAGAACATGGGATGGCAAGGGGGTTCTGAGCCACAGCCCTGACCAAGTCTGCACGTAGCATGTTGGGCCCCAGGGAAATGGCACAGGGTCTGCTGGCCGTAGGCAGGCATCCCCACTGCTCACAAGGTACACAGAGCCCTAGACTGTGGTCACATCACAGTCTAGGGACCCTGAGGGAGGAAGTGAGATGAGGGGGCCGTCCCCCCACAGGGCCTCACACACCCCTCGCTCCTCTCCACTGGGGGTCGGGAGCCTGGCTGCATGGCAGAGGCAGCAGTGGCCATGAAAACAGGAGAGCTGGCAGGAGCGGGCACGAAGGCTTCGAGGCCCCACACCTGCTCCCGCCTGCCCATGTGGCAGGCAAGGGCAACCTGAGTCCCAGGGACTGTGTTGCCCAGCCCCTCCCTGCTGGCACCGAGTGCCCCCGAGGTCCTGGAGCAGGATGGGAACCTGGGGGTCCCTGTCTGGGGTACAGCCTGCAGGGCCAGCATCCAGGGCTCCTCAACCCCACCCCTCAGCTGGTGTCCGCCCCAGGATGGCTAAGCAACATCCCAGAAAAGCCACCAGGGAGGCACAGACCAGGGCAGAGAACAAAGACATTGGCACGACGACAGAAGGCAGACGGTGTATGAGATACAAGGACAGGATCAAAGCAGTGACGGTGGAGGAACACGGGCTGTGGTGGGTGGTGTGGGCTCGGCAGCCCGGGGGTGGGGAGAGGAAGGCATGGACGGGAGCCAGAAGCGCGAGCCCGGGTCAGCACCAGGGCAGCTGGGTAAAGGCACAGGACCCCGGAAGGCAGAGGACACAGAGCCCAGAGCAGAACAAAGCCAGAGGCAGTGGGCAGAGGGTGGTCTGCCTTGGAGGCCAGCAGCCAGCAAGCACTGGGCACAGGAGCAAGGTACTGGCCCTGGGCCCTTCTGTAAGTGGCTGGGGACGGTGGGGAAGGGGAGCCGGGAGAGGCCCAGGAGGACCAGGGCTCTGGCCCAGGGGACAGGATGCGCTCCCTGGACACACCGGGCAGGCGGCTGCCCTGTCAGTGGCCAGGACTTCCGACCGCTCCTATGAGAACCCAGCCGGCGTGGCGCTGCCCCGCCCCTGCGCACACGTACATGCACACTCACCAGAGCACCTGCAGTGTGGTGCCGGGCTGCCCCAGAGCCTGGCACAGCTCCTGGACGCCACAGTCCTCCAGCGTGTTGCTGCTCATCTGCAGCTCCAAGAGGCGCTTGTTTTGGGTCAGCATTGTGCTGAAGTGGCGGCAGCAGGCAGCCGTGAAGCTGCAGGACTTCACCCTGCGGGAGATAAGCACGGGGGCTGTGGCTTCGGGGCCACACCTCGGGCACCCCTGGACTCAAGCACCATTCCCCAAAACCAGCCCCCACCTTCCGTCTTTCAGGCAGCTTGACCTCAGTGCACCGCACCCCACCCTCCAAGGACACCGGGAGCCTTCCTGCTCACCCACAGGGGCAGCAGCCCTTCCCCCCGGTGCCCTCGGGGGCCATCAGCTGCACCCACCACAGGGACTCCAGCTGGCAGCCGGGCTCCCTCAGGCTCTCACACAGCAGCCGGGCGCCCTCGTCCTCCAACGCGTTGCCCACCAGGCTGAGCTCCCTCAAGCTCTCCTTGGCCTTGAGGATGCGGCAGAGGTCTCTGCAGCCCTCCGTGGTGATGGCACACTCCCAGAGCCTGGGGGCACGGGGCCAATCACTGCAAGGCCACGGAGTGACACTGGCCCAAATCCTTGGACATTACCCTCCTGGCCCAGCAGGTGGGAAAGGGAGCCAGCCAGGTGGGCCGGCGAGAGAGTGCGTGCAGAGCCCCGCTAGGTACCCACAACCCCACCAGGCAGTCAGCTCACCGCAGGGCCCTGAGCCGGGAGCTGGGGCTCAGCAGCCCAGGGCACAGGTCCCTGAGGCCTGTGTCGCCAAGCCGGTTGCTGCCCAGGTCCAGCTCCTGCAGTGAGGCCTTGGAGGCCACAACGCCACACAGGTCCTTGCAGTTGGCGGACTCAAGGCCGCAGTTCTCCAGCCTGGGGGCACAGGATGGCCCGTGGGAGCTGGGGAGCCCACAGCATCACAGCCCCCAGCCTGGCCCAGTGCTTACTTGAGTGTCTCCAGCTGGCAGGCAGAGTCGACCAGGCCCTGGCACAGCGCCCGGGCACCAGCCTTGCCCACATCGTTGTTGCTCACCACAAGCTCCTTGAAGTCCCGCTTGGCCCTGAGCACCGAGGCCAGGGGCTCGCAACTGGCGGCCGTCAGGTTGCAGTACTCCAGCCTGGGGGCGGGACGTGGCCCGGCTGAGGGAGCATGTATCGGGGCTCCCTCCCGCCCCAGGCAGCGAGGCCTACAATGATGGGGGCCACTGCATAGTGAGCACCAAGAGGCTGACTTCCTGGACAGCACCCAGAGTCTCCTGGGAACTGCCCAACTGGGCCCAGGGGGAAGGCACCAGCCCAAAAGCCTCAGTGTGGGGATACAGGCCAGCTGCCAGAGGGCCACTGCCCCGACATCACGGGGGAGCCTCCGAAGTCCCCGAAACGCCCCTTCAAGGGTCCCCACAGCTGACAGGCAGGTGCTGACGGAAACCCTGGCAGCACGTGGGTGCCGGGCGGAGACGGACCAGGTGGCGGGACACACTCACTGCAGCTTCTCCAGGTGGCACTGGGGGTCCAGGAGCCCTTCACAGAGCAGCCTCAGGCCTGCATCCCCCAGTGGGTTGTCACTGAGGTGAAGCTCACGCAAAGTGGGCAAGGTGCGCAGCATGCGGGGCAGGACTCTGCAGCCGGCCTCTGTCAGGCTACAGTTCTGGAGGCTGGAGCAGGTGGCCAGATGTCAGCAGGGCCCCACAAGCCAGGCTGTGGCCCCCACTGCAAGAGAAGCCACCCCTCTGTCTACAGGAAGGCAGGCACAGAGCCCCCACATGCACACACCCTGTGCCTGCAGAAGCCTTACAGCCGGGCCTTTCTGGCAGAAGGGCCTCATCTGCGCCTCCCCCCCACCCGCCAGGGCTGCCCAGGGACACCTGGGGGCTGTGAGGAAGCTGGGCCGGTAGCCCAGGAAGGTGGCAGGACTGCAGGGGGGCAGACCCTCACACGCGGGCCTCAGCCTCCGGGGCCTTTGGCTGAAGCCTGCCCACCTACCCGCCTGCCCAGAAGCCCTCACTTCTTGGGGCACACAAGGGGGTTGGACCTGAGCTCAGCATGGGGCAAGCACCTGGGCTGGCACCACCCTGCACTCACCTGAGCTTCTGGATCTTGCAGGTGGGGCTCTGCAGGCCCTGGAGCACCAGATGCACACCGGCATCGCCCAGCTCATTCGCACGCAGGCTGAGCTCGGTCAGAGAGGGGTTGGCCTGGAGCGCAGAGCTGATGTCCCTGCACCGCACCTCTGTGAGGCCACAGTCGTCCAGCCTGCAGATGGGACATTCAGCAAGCCACTCACAAAGCAGGTCGCCTGTGACACCCTTGCTGGGGATAGGGGCACACGCACGGGTGCGCATCTGGCCCATGCACTCTGCACCTTACGGTAGGTGCAGTCAATGCATAAAAGCTTCCGTCTGCCTTCAGAAGAGAAACCAAACCATGCGAGAAAGCACTCTGAAGGGTGCCAGGGAGCTAGCACCGCACCAGGGGGCTAGCACCGCACCAGGGGGCTAGCACCGCAGAGCAGCCAGGGCCAGGGGGTGTGGGCTGCATGCTGCCACAAACCGCAGTCATGACTCACGAGGGACCAACCCAACCAACAGGTGAGAGCAGAGCTCCCTGAAGAAGGCAGCCAGGCAGGGGGAGTAAACCCTGGCAACAACTGTCTGGCAAAATGCCCCTACAGCTGCTAAAATCTGCAAAAGCTTGACAGAACCAGGACATCAGCAGCGTCTCAAGGTACCTCAGCCAAGACATCAGTTAGAAGGGTAAATGCTAACTCGTGGAGAACCAGCAGACACCACCTTAACAGGTGGTCAGGTGACCGTTGGGGGACCACATGGTGCCAGCTCCCTCACACACCCCACAATATGACGTGCTCAGCAGGACACGTCATTTGTGTATTCTTGCCAAAAATGTGTGACTCAACCACGAGAAGACAACAGGGGGACTTTCTCCAGAGCCTGGGCAGACTCAAGATGGCCAAGGACAGGGACGGACAGAGGGACATCGCAGACGGGAGGCAGGGCCAGGAGACATGACGAAAAATGCCACAGGGTTCCTGCACAGACCCGGGAAAGCTGGTGAGGCCTGTTGCCAGGCGACAGGGTGCTGGAGTTGGGGACGCAGGAACCCCCGGTGCCCCTCTGCTGTAATCCTAAAACTGTTCAAAATAAGGTAAAAAGAAAAAAGGTGAGCCAGCAGGCACTTATCTCTTGCTCGTGAACCCTGAGGAAGCTCTGGGTTTGACAACCTCAAAACAGAAGCCGGGCTGGACTCCATCTCCCAGCCTGCAGCCCCCCAGGGGACAGGCAGCCCCCAGAGCAGCCCCGCTCGCTATGGGGCCCGCCACTCTGCCCTCTGCCTCCACACCAAAGCCGGCCCCCAGCCTGAGCTGGGAGGGGGTCTACACGCTCAGATGGTTGAAAAGGGTGGTGATGACACTTCATGCCACATACAGACATGCAAAACCTGCACTGGGCGCCGCAAGCACTGTGGTGTCGGCACCACACACACCAGCGGAGGCGGCAGAGTGGCGCACAGGCCCTTGCTGCCCACCTCCCGCGGTGACTCCCGCAGGGCACTACCTGACCACCTCGTACTGCCGGATCAGGGGCAGGAGCTCGGCCCAGCGCGTGTCACTCAGCTGCTCGCACTGGATGTCCAGGTTCATGGTGACAGGTGAGGAGTTTGCTAGAGGGAGGCAGAGGGAGAAGGACCCATCTCAGAGACTCTCTCAAGGTTTGAGGGGCCATAGATCCAGAAGGGGAAAAAGTCCAAAAGGACCCCATGGGGACTGACGTTCAGGGACTCAGCCTGTCCCCAGGCCAGCGCCTGCTATGTTAACTTCCTTGGCATCTGCATCCACCTCAGCTGCCAGGAGCAAGAATGGGTGTGGGCAGAGGGAGGCTATGCCCACCGCACTCCCCTGGCAAAGACCACAGCAACTGCAGAGCTTGGGGACAAGGCCGTGGGACCAGAGGCTGCTGTTACTGGCTCCCCACACCCAGCCTTTCTGGGCACCTCTGGGACCTGAGCTTACCACCCAAAGCCTGCCCCATTTGCCTGGCGAGCTTGGGTCTTGGGGGTGGCCTGCAGGGTTTCTGGACAGGGTGTGGAGTCCCCATTTGGAGCACAAAGGCTGGTGATCCAAGTGCTACAGAAACTCCCTGCCTGCTCAGCCTCCACTCCCCTGCTGAGAACAAGATTCACAAGCCCACCTTGCCTGGGCCTGCACAGAGCAGAGACCCCGGGCAGGAGGAGCATGGCTGGGCTGCCCGCCAGCACCCTCAGCCTCACTACCCTGAAGCAGCAAGGGTGCCATGGGCAGGGCAGAGTGGGTGGGGTGGGGATCGCAAGCCCAGAGGCCTGCATACCCAGGGTGCCTGTTTCTACAGCCCCTTTCTGGGGACCAGCCCAGGGAGAAACCAGGGCATCAGGCAGGATTTTGGCCTGGGGTGGGAGCAAGTCACAGGCCCTGCAACCTCCAGCGACAAGTGCAGAATGAGAAGCTGCTGACACCACAGCCCAGACTGGGGGATGCAGCAGGGGAGCAGCAAACCCCGGAGTGGGGAATGGGGCAGGGGCGAGTGCCTGGGAGCCAGCTGAGTTCACTCAGGAGCAACACGATGCCCAGCCAAGATGGGCACCTAGGACCATGCCCTTTAGAAAGGTTGCACCAAACAGGATGGCTCAGCCTCTTGGGAGCTTCCTGAGAACACCACCTCCCTTGGCCTGTGTCACTGCCTGGCACGCAGAGGCCTGGCTGGGGGAGCTCCCCTCCTACCCCAGTGGTTCCGAGCCGACAGCCCAGAGAGGGCCGACCAGCAGGCAAGACTCGTGCACGTCCTGGCAGACAGCCTGCGGAGGAACCTGAGGTCACACAACCATCATGTAGGAACCAAGGGCCAGCCCAGAGCCAGGAGCAGAGCGACACCAGACTGCTCCCCACATCTTGGCCCCCCAGCCCAGGGTGTGGTCACCAAACCCTGCCTCCGAAAGCTGCCATCACTGGACAGGGGTCAGGAAGCCTCATTCTGACCCCTCCTCGGGGGGGCAAGGCCAGAGGACTCTGGCCACAGGACAAGCCATCTCCCCGAATCCCGCCCGAGGGTAGGGGACTCAGCTCTCCTGATGTGATCTGAAGTGAAGAACAAGGGCAGGAAATGGGCACTGGCGGCTGCCGGCTGCCCGGGGCCTGAGCAGATCCCAGGAAATCCCCTTGGTAGGGCCTCGGGACCAGGGCACTTCTTAACCCCCATGAAAACGTGGACCACCACGGTCCCCCAGTTGAGTCCCTGACTTGGGGGGGAAACAAACTTCAAGCAGGATCCCCTCCATGGGGCTGCTCCCAAAGGTCCCAAGTCAGGGATCCGGGATCTGAACAGTGGCCCCCAACTGGTGCTTTCCAGTGTGAGCCAGTCCGCTCGCAGGGGCGGTGCCCTCGGCTGCGCCCTACTTAGCCGGCCCGGAGGGGGCGTCCCTCGAAGCGCGGAACGCGCGACCCCGGCGGCGCGGTTACCTCTGCGAGGCGCGGGCAGCGCGGGGGTCCGCAGGGGTCCGCCCAGCGCCGCCCGCGCCCTCCCGAGGCTGCGCATGTGCCGGGCGGCCTGGGGCCGCAGCCGGGCGGGGCGGCGGGGTTACCCTAGGGAAAAACGGACGCTCTCAGACGCGCGCGGGGAGTCCCGGCGCCGGAGCTCCCGGCCCGCGCCCATGGCCACACGGCCGGGCCGCGACGGACCCCGGGAAATTCCGCGGGGTCGTCCGAGGACTTTCGCTTGGCCCGGGGACGCTGCGCAGGCCCCCGGTCCCCGGTTCCCGCCCGCCCAGCTTTTCGGACCCCGACCCGCACCCAGACAGTCACCTCGCGCCGTCGCCGCCTGTGCAACCCAGGGCCGCGTCGCCGCTTCCGCCGGAGGGGCGGGGCCACGCCGGGAGGGGCGGGGCACGTCCCGGACAGCGGCGGGGCACGCTCTCGGCTGAGCCAGCTTCCCGCGGCGCGCTAGCCTTCGCTCCCAGGACGCCGAGTCCCGCGCGGCCGTGCGCGCCCCGGCCTGTGCCTGCAGCCTTCTGTGCAGAGCAGGGGACGCGCCGGCTCGCAGGAGGGGCCGCTCCTCTGCCTCCCGCGGCGGGGCCCGGGCAGCCGGCTGCCTGGTTGGTGGCTGTGAGAACCGGCCCGCCTGGAACTGCGCAGGCTTTCGGGGGCGCAGGTCTGGCTTACACCAAACAGGTACCGACCCTTCCGTTTATGTGCATCTGTCAAAAGGTACTGATGTATGAGCTTGGGGGACACGTTCACAAATGTCTTTACAGCACTTTCTAACAGTTCAAACCTGGAAGCAATCTAAATGTCCATCGGAAGAACAGCTAATAATTTTAACATTCCCCCCGAGCCGGCCTCAGCCGATAGATAACCAGTGCCTGTGGATCAGCCCTACCGGTCTTGCTCTTCAGCAATAGCTATCAAGGAACTTTTGTGGGGAAGGGTTTGTTACTCACAGGTCTGGGTCCTGTGAAGCACACTGCCTACCTGGGACCACACAGCAAGGTCAGAGGGAGAGAGACAAAGACAGTGTTTGCACGCCCAGGGTGCAAGTTGTGATGGAAAGCGCTCGTAAGACGAAGGAACGACCTGGAGATGCCACAGTAAACACGAGCGTTTCCTGGGATTTAGGTACAGGGAGTGAGGGGATTATTCTGTGCGACCAGTGCCCCAGGGGATAAACCCTTGATCAGGGAGTCTGCCTCCCAACAAGATGTTCCCACAATAGGGCAGGTCTGGGTTTGGCCAGCCCCTGGCCACATCAGCATGCTGTGCACTTAGCAAACTGCCCGAAGGAGTGTCCATGTGGACGCGTGGTTATTTGGACAAAAGGTTACAAGAGGGCAGCACCTGTCCCCACAATAAGCCTGGGGTTTGTTTTTATTGGAGTTGAGGGTAGGGGCCTACGGTTTCATGGGCTCACTCTTTATTGGTAACTTTTGACATACGAGCAGGAATTTAAAGTGTGGGAACAGAAAAAACACACGGCCCAAGTGGTCAGTTACTGAAACCAACCAAGATCTCTAAAATGAAGTGGCCTCCATGTGGGAAGGTGGCCTGGCTCTGCATCTAATTTTGTGACTGGCAGTGTGTTCATTTGAGATGGCCATCCTTGACATAGATGCCTCGGCAATCAAAGCTTAAGTGGGGCACTTGGGTGACTGTCTGTCTGGGCTCACGGTAGTCACTACTCTACCAGTCAAAACGACTGTCAAGGCATGATCTTCCAGGGCACACTGGTATTTTAAACATGCAAAACAATACATAGAGCATTATGTTTGAAAAAATGCTAATGTGGGCGTGGGGACTTGTGCATCACACCCCCACTTGAGCAGATCACCTCCTCTGGTGCCCTCCCTGGGCTGCATGCCTGTCAGCCCGCTTGGCTCAGTCACCCCCTTGGCAGCATCCCTCCCGGCTGGCACACTCCGTATAACCAGGGTGCTCGATGTGCTCTCATCACACAGGCAGTTGTCACTCCAGCCAACACTCATTGAGCACCTACTGTGTGCCAGGCACTATTTTAAACTACATCCGTGAGCAAGGCAGGGCAATGGTCTCATGCCTCATGGAGCTCACAGTTAGATGTGGGAATGCATTGAATTAAAAAGTAAATTAAGAGTGTGGGAAGGGCAAAGACTTTGGGGAAAAGCAGGATAAAATAAATCAGAAGCGCTGGAGTGGCAGGTGGAGGTCAGGCAAGCCCCTGCACGGAAGGGCTGGGAGGGGAGTGGGAGGAGCAGCCCCTGAGGCCGCAGCAGGCTGGACAGGAGGTGCAGTGTTGAGTTTCACAAACTTTGGAGAGTGCTAACTGCACACCTGGCATAATTGTCCTTAGGTGCTTCCACCAGGTAGCACAGTAAGGATGAAACAAGGGGGGGGCTGGGAGCTGAGCTGTTGCCTGGGGGATCAGTTCTTCGGGGGAATAAAGTCAAAGGTTACTCAATTTGGGGAGAACACCTGGCTGGGCCAGTCCTTACTTGTGTACTTTGCTGGATGCCAACGGACAAGGAGGCCAGGGCCACCGATGTGGGACTGGGGACACAGAGAGCCCAGTGGCTTAACAGAGATGAGCCACCAAAGCATAGACCCCCTCTCCCCCAACCAACTTGTCCCTCAGAGCAGGTGCAAATTGTCAAGCTGACCGGTTGTCCAGTGAAGAGAACAAGCAGCTCGGTTGCCTTGATGCAGGAAAATGAGACAGGTGGTGGGTTTCCGGCACAGGCTGCTGCAGCCCGAGGGTGCTGAGGGTGGAGGGGGCCAGAGGGGTGATGGTTAGGGAGGAGCCTCCAACTTTGACATGATTTTTGTCACACGAGCTGTATGTGCTCTGTAGAAAAAACTGAAGACAGAGATAAGAAAATGAAAAGCCCTAGAAAGGCCAACTTCCAGAGGCCGATGCTCCCCCCTCTGCGTCTGCGCTCCTATTCCTTCTGTATGCACACGCTGTTGTGATGTGAAAACGAGATATTGGTAATGGTAGGCAGAATAATGACCCCCAAAAGGATGGGCTTTGTTTTTGATTTTGGTATCATTAATCGACAATTACATGAGGAACATTATGTTTACTAGACTCCCCCCATCACCAAGTCCCCCCCACAAACCCCATTACAGTCACTGTCCATCAGCGTAGATGCTATAGAATCACTACTTGTCTTCTCTGTGTGGTACAGCCCTCCCCGTGCCCCCCCCCTGCTACATTAT